GACCGTATGGACGGACGGATGAAACAAACAGAATGATAACAATAATTATTATTACTATTATTATTATCAATAGTGTTTATGTTATTCCTGTTATCAAAATAGAAACAGTAATAACAAAAGATAATTATGGCAAAAGTAATACTGGCAGTATTCATAATGATGATGATGATGATGATAATGATGATGATAATAATAATGATAAATGATGATGGTGATGATGATAATGAATAAACAATAATAACAATAATAACAAGCAGCAGCAACAACAATGATAATAATAAAATAATAACAATAATGATAGTCATAATAATAATGATAATAATAATAATAATAGAAAAAATGGTAATGATAATAACAATGATAATGATTATCATGATAATGATTTTAATAATGTTAATAGTAATAATAGCAATAACAATAGTAATAATAATAGTTACCAAAAATAACAATAATAATCTTAATAAAATAACAATAACTATAATAACAATGCTAATTATAATATTCTTATCTTTATATCAATATTATCATAAGTATAACAATAGAAATAATGATGACCTATAAGATAAAAATTGAAATAATGATAGTAACAAAGATGATGACGATAACAACAACAATAATAATAATAACACCAGCAACAAAACAATAATAATGATGCATATAATGATGATAGCAACAACGTGATCCACCGATATCTGACTGGGCTCTATAGGAAAATAATCATAACTCGTGTAGAAAGATTCTTTAGTCTTGGTTAAAAATCTCCCTCGAGCTTGTATGTCGATAAAAACACTGGTTGGCGGCCAGACTTAAAGGACAAGTCCGTGTTCTGAGTGGCAGTGGTAAATAGGTTGTTTAGAATAACGGCGTAAATGAGGTTAGAAAGGCGAATTCTGTAGATTTACTGTGGTTGAAAAGCACAGGCCCAGTCGGCATCAAGTGATTGTTTAGCACAGATTATGGAGACATGTGAAAATTTTAATGTTGAATTGAACTGAATTTAATCTCTTCTATAGTGCCTACATATAATTCATCATTCACATATCAATAAATTGGAATCTTTCCATAAATGTTCTTATTTCTATAACCTGACACCATTACACTACTCATAAATAAAAATAACAGAATCTGAAAAGATGACAGTCGCTGAACTGGGTCATGGAGATTATTATTATACATTGGTCAGGGCCACAAAATGTAAAAGGTTAGGAACCACTGGTTTAGAACCATGACAAGAATGAGCGATGGGACAAGGCGGTGAACCGAGTGGTGGCACAATGTTGGATAAGAAGTGAACCGAACAGCAGAGGATTTTGACAGCGCATGAAATTAAATCGAGGTGAAATGAGAATATGGTTACTGGATGGTTATCAATTGACATGGAGACTGAAAAGTTGAAAAGCATGAGAGTAATAGAAAGCGTAGACCAAGAAACGGATGATGACCAACAAAACGAGGTACACAACAAAATGTTTGAGCTCATTTCATGGAAGAGCCAGAATGGATGAGGATAGAACAGCATGATGAACGGGAGAGAGTAAAGAACATTTTTGAGTAGCCTACATGCGAGGCAGCACTACCAAGCTCAAGGTCTATGGATAGGAAAAAGGGTAAAAACAGAAACTTGGAAATGGGAGTTTGAACAAAGGTTTTAGATACAGAAAATAACAGAATCGAATCTTGTTAATACGGCTGCAGTCAATGTTGTTGCTGGCAAAATGGGACATAAAAGAAGAGAATAAACAGAACGGAAGGAACTATTTTGGAGAACAAGGATATGGGAGAAGCAGACAAAACTGAACCATTTCAGGTTTGTCTTTTCACTTAGGGCAATATAGAATGAAAATAGGGAAATTACGACACAGACGAAAAAGATTAGAAACGATTTCGAATAAGCAATAAAAGAATCAAGACTGGTAAATTAGAAGAGACCCTCATGGCTGATTCGATTTCATCAAAGAATGGGGATGAACTAGTCCGAACAGTGCGTAATTTCTCAGATGACATTAGGACGAAATTCGGATTTTCAAAATGTGACACGCAAAGATGGTGAGGCAATGTAATTCATGGAACCGGAGACAGGGTATAAGTACGTGTGAATTCTTGAGGCAGATTGTATCAAACATAGAAATGAAGGTTAGAAAAGCGTACCAAAGAAGAAACAGAAAGATATCGCGTTTCAAGGTGAATGGCGGAAACATCACATCAGTAAGTTCAAAGGCCGTTAACGTGCGGGAATCTTGAAATCAACAGATACAGTACTGAAGGAATTTGAAAGAAATACATGGAAATTATTCACAAAACACGGTGCTCGCCATCCTCGTACAGATGTAGACATACTACTTTTAAAATGGGAAAAGGAAGGGAGAGGAATGACTGGAGTAGAAGACTGTGCAAGATCGCCCGGTGCGGTACATATTACAAAGAGAAGAACGCTTATCGGTGGCAGTGCGTGAAGAAGAGACGCTGAAGGAGGGAAAAGAGAAAAGGACACAACTTGATGTATGGGAAGAGCATGCTGAGGCGGTGCTCAACAAAGGGCTTAGACACACAGCTACCTAAAATAACAGAGGAAGTAGAATGAAAGTGCGCTTGCGAGTCGTTGAAGGAAGGAGTACTAAGAAAGGAAACTGAGGTGCCAATATAGCGAATACAATATCACGCTTTGAATATGAATTAGCCCCAGCATGTAAGAAATTAGCAGGAATCGCAATTGTGTCCACTGTGTAAGGCATCTGACGGAACAAAAACATTGTGAGTGGATGTCCTAAGTTAACACAAACCCAAAGCGAAAGTTTAAGGTGTGGCGGCATGGCGAGTAAGCCTATATATCGCATTGGAAATTTTGTGTAATGTGGGGATTCCACATGGGAAAGACATAGTATAAACACAAGCCAGAAGAGGGTAGTGGAGTCGGATAAAATACTATGGAACTTCTCCATACAGAGGTTGATAAGGTTAAGAAAAAAATGTGATTTTTCGTTTCACTTCCGGTTAACAAAGAAGGAAAGAAGGGTTTAGATCCGACTGACATGAAATGAATAGGATTTGGAAAAGTAAGATGGATATAATACCGTCTATCGAGCGAACCTTGGTAACTGTAACAAATGATTTTACACTGTATATCGAGCAATTAGATATAGTAGTCTGTTTGAACTATAACAGAAGGATTCTCTTTGCTACGGCTAGGAAAAAAAAAAAAAGGAAAATGCTTGACAACTAAGCAAGGAGGGAAAATACCATAGGATGCAGACAGTAGTCCCGCTACGTGCGCAAATAATAATTGCAAAGCCTGTGCGAAAATTAAAGTAATGATAATAATGATCATGATGATGATAATGATGTTGATAATAATAATAATTTTCAGTATCATTAATAATGAGGATAACAATAATGATAATGACCGGGTTATAATTATAACGATAATGAATATGATGATGTAGGTGATGAAGCTGATGATGATCATAATGATAATAACTAATGATAATGATAATTGTTATTATTATCATTACTACTACTATCATCATGATTATGATTATAATAATGATAATGATAATAATAGGAAACAACAACAACAATAACAGTAATGATGATAATAGTAATAGTGATAATGATGATAATGATAAGATATAACATTAATACTGTTAAGAATCATGTTGATAGATAAATAAAAACAACATATTAGCAATAATGATGATGCTGAGGATGATGATGGCCATTGAAAATAACTAGAACAGTTATGATAATGATAATGAGGATGATGGTAACAAATTAATGATATTAATAATAAGGATGATAATAATAGTAATGATAATGATAGTGATAATTAGATTAACAATAATGTTATGATAATGAAAGTAGTAGCAGCAGCAGTAGTAGTTATAATGATAAGGATAATAATGATGAAGATCTAATGATAATGATAGCAACAACAACAGCAACAAGAATATCAAGTAATAATATGATGTGGATGATGATGATGATGATGATGATGATGATGATGATGATGATGATGATGATGATGATGATGATGATATGATGATATATAATAATATAATAATAAAATAATAATAATATATAATAATAATAATAATAATGATGATGATGATGATGATGATAATGATAATATAATAATAATATTAATAATAATAATAATAATAATAATAATAATAATAATAATAATAATAATATAATAATAATAATAATAATAATAATAATAATAATAAAATAATAATAATAATAATAATAATATGATGATGATGATGATGATGATGATGATGATGATGATGATGATGATGATGATGATGATGATGATGATGATGATGATGATGATGATGATGATGATGATATGATGATGATAATGATAATAATAATAATAATAATAATAATGATAATAATAATAAATAATAATAATAATAATAATAATAATAATAATAATAATAATAATAATAATAATAATAATAATAATAATAACAATGATAATGATAATAATAATGATAACAATAATAATAATAATAATAATAATAAATAATAATATATAATAATAATAATAATAATAATAATAATAATAATAATAATAATAATATAATAATAATAATAATAATAATATAATAATATAATAATAATAATAATAATAATAATAATAATAATAATAATAATAATAATAATAATAATAATAATAATAATAATAATAATAATAATAATAATAATAATAATGATAATAATAATAATAATGATAATGATAATGAAATGATAAATGATAATGATAATGATGGTAATGATAATAATGATAATCATGATAATAATGATAATGATGATAGTAATAAAATAATGAGTGTAATGTTAAAGAAAAATATGAAATCTATAGTTTTACTTCTACCATTAGTGAAATGATAGTTAATGATAAAAACATTTCCAAGGTTTATATTGGTTATGTCAATGTGAAAATTGATAATATTGTGATAATAGATGCGTAGATAATTTACTCTTGTATCCCCATCAGGACGTCGTCTGTTTACATGTCTCCCACGTCTTGGTATGATACTTTACGCATTTTGTCTTTGCTTGACTCTCAGAGTGACTTCTCGATGTTTTTATTCTCCAGAAGAGATATTGTGAAGTAGTTACGATTCAGTATCGCAAATGAATTAGGAAATAAGGTGTAATTTGTGGAAAGTAGACAACATTTGCGGGATGCAAATCGTCCTTTTTCTTTATTCACGAGTGTGCTTTTTATGCATATTTAGGAGACCGGAAAGACCAATAAGCTCAATGATATTACGGCAGAAGGGAGCAATTCTAAATACTTTGATGCCTGTTTTGCAGACGTGTATTAAGAAAATAATTTCATTTATCTCTATTTAGAGGGCAAAGATGTTCATACTTTCATATTAAAGTGATTAAAAGGTCTTTTATGCTGGATGAAAATTCTGGTAAGTCTTTATATTATATAGATGCACTTGCCAGAATGCCACCATATTGTCACAAATTTTATTCAACAATCTAAATTGCTGTGACTAGGGGAGACTTGGTGGAGATTACAGCCCTCCAACACCCTTTGACAAGCATCACCTAGGTTTACACGGCAAGATCTCAGTCTCAGTAGGTTGAAACATAAGGCACTAAGAGTTAGTGCATATCATGCTTTTGGGAGAGTTGTTTTTTTGGGGGGAACTTAAAGGGGTAAGGGTAGCTAAGTCTTGGTGTTTTAGGTATGGGATCTGAGATGTGTTAGCATAAGTTTGTGGAAGGTGTCTGCTTTGTCTGCGTGTATTATGTGTGGTGGGAGTCTAGTCTAACCAAGAATTGTATGTGGAAAATACGAGTGAAGGAGTCTATAATAGTGTGGCATGTCATATATTTCTGGTAGTGGGCACTTTGTGTATTAAGTGTGTTTACAAGGTGTAAGTTATCTTGTTTATTTCTGTCAATTTAATTATTTGCAGTTTTATACATAGTTGGTAGTTTGTGTACTTGTCTGAGTATTGTTGTGATACATTTTATGATGCCAAGAATTTTAGTGTAGTTGTTTGTAATGAACCTGGCTGCTACTGCTGAAATTTAGGGGTGGTGCTTTCTGCAGTATTTTTTCTTTATTTGTGGTGTTACCATTTGTGTCTGCAGATTTTTTTTTTTACCAAATGCAAATTTTTGTCCTCTACAAGATTATCATGTTCGATTTGCTCTAACTTATTGTGTCCATACTATAAAAATTAACCAAGAGTTTTCTTGCCTGTATGTTATTGATCTGCTGTGTAGCTTTTATGCATGTTGATATTACAATTATTTATTCTTATTCTCATATTCTTTGTTTTTCTGTACATAATTATTACTTTATCATTGATAATTATAAATGTTTTTGATTTAGCACTCTGAGCTTTGGTTGAATTATACGTATCCTTATATTGAATTCCTTCCCTTGTATTGAATTCCTGCTGTTCACCTGAAGAGATTGAGGGAACAGCATTCTTGGCAAATATTCAGAATTCTTTACTGATTTCACTGTCATGTGTTAATCCTGATAGCAATAGAAATATATGAGGGTAAGTGTGAGGACTGCAAAATTTGCCAACTGCATTGGAAAAGTAATTTGAAAATTAGTACAGTATTCTTGAGCTATTAATGATTTTATTTTTCTCGAAATCACCATGATTCTTTTAGCAAAGAGAAAGTAATGAAAATAAAAAAAAATGATAAGATAAAGATTAGATATTGCAAACTATGAAAAACGGACAACTTACGTATTTTGTCGTGTGCTAAAGTGGATTGAATCACAGGGAGGTTAATCACCAAATGAAAATATCCAGTTTGTGTTATTTGTATTGATAAAAATCAACAGTAAATAATAACATGCCCACACTGGATTGTGAAACAAAGATATATCCCTCAGAAATGATATTAACTGTTTTATCCAAATCCAATTGAAGTTTGCTGTGATACTTGATGGACTTCCTGTTATCTAAATTCTAGCAAATGAGTGGAGCTTTGTCATTACTTTGTACTTTGGCAGAGGACAACAGAACTCTTGCCATGTTTATTCTGGCAAGAGAAAATTTGGACTGGTTCCCTCTTGACAATACATAGCCAGGAAAGTCTATAAGCTCTGTTCTCCTAGAACATATGCAATGGATTTTTTAAAATGCCTTCTGCTTGATGTGAAGCTAGCTACAGATGCTAGGATGTATCCTATACATTATTAGCTTTCAGAATTTATCTGCAAAAAGTACATACAAATTTTTTAAAAATATGTAGTATTTAGGATCATTTAAAAAAGGATGTAGGCAACAATATACTGATAAAGATCAGTAAATAACAATATATAGAGATAAACAGAAATTATTCACATAAATAAGAATTGGGTAGAGAAAGCCCTTTTCTGTATTCATTGGAGGCAAGGGAGATTAAGATTAAGATTAATTAGTGTCAGTCTATCAGGGCATAATAATTATGCAAAATTCATTATGTCAAATCAGAGTGCTTTTCTTTACTGATATTGCTTCTCACAGGCCACAATGTTAGAACAGCAGATAGAGACCATTGTTACCAGTCTCTGCGCCAGCCAGAAACTGGAGCGAGATCGTGCTGTTGTCGAGCTTAATAACAAAATAAAGACCCTATCCCCTGAAGTTGTTCAAAGCCTTCAGAGGGCCTTGATCAATAAGTCACTTGACTCCAGCAGGTGAGTAAGGCTTTTCTTCCTTTTTTTAAAAAGTTTATTTGGTATGTGTGTGTGTGTTGAGAGAAGATTCTTTGGTATATTTGTTAGCTCTGTTTTGATTTCTCAAAGGTTATTTATAAGAGTTTTATTGTATTTTAATGTTTTTATTTTATTCACACCTGGTAAGCGTATATATATACACATTTTTTATTTATATATTTATTCATTTGTTAGTTTATTTATATTTATGATGACATATAAATCTTTAGAAGGAAGGTCAGTCAAATGTTATGGAATTGCCAATGAAAGCATGAAAGGATGGATCTATAGCTCTTATGTCCATTAGGTTCCTATGTGAAATTAATATTTCTTTTGTTGTAATTAAGAGAGGGGAAATATGACTCATACAACTGGAGGAGAGTGAGATTCTGATGTGAGGAATAGAATGAAGCAGAAATATAGTTGGTTTTAGGCAGAGGTCAATACCTTTCCTTGATGGTGTAATGACATTAAAATTCCTTTTTATTGAGGGTTCCACTTTAACAATGCCTATGCTTAGCTATGAATTGAATATTTTTGATGTTTTATACTTTTTTGTGTTCAGTCCATGGGAAACAGTACATGGATCTCTCCTGGGCCTGCGTATGGTGGTGCTGAACGTAGAGGTTGAACCTGAAGGCCAGTTCCACTGTGAAGTGAGGGCTGCCTCTCTCAGGCTCCTCACTCACCAGGAAGTTCGTGTGAGACAAGCAGCTGGTAAGGAAATGCTGAAGATTAAAAAGTGTTTACATCATTGTTATTAAAAGAAACTGAAGATTTGGTCTCCCTTTACCTTAAAAGTTATGCTCTCATTTGTGAACACATAGCACCTATCTCAGGTGAGAGACCTTTTGTTTGATTGTGCCTCAACAAGGTTACTTTCATTAAGTACTCTACTGTTCTATGATCAGGTGAGGTGCTAGGTGCTCTGTGCCAACAAGATGGAGGGGTTACGTATGCTTCATGCCGGTCACAGGTTTTAGAGCTAGTGCGCAGTAATTTAGAACGGCAGATGACTGATGATGATGCCTCGAGAAGTGAACATGAAAGCACAAGGCAGCTGATGGAGAAGCTAACAGCAGGAACTAGAGAGAGGGTGAGTTTTTGTCACAGATTTGTAATTTCATGAAACTCTTTTCATGTTGTTTGGAAACCATTGTTTTTTGTGTTTTTATTGTACCAGAGAGAGAATTGGAATAAGACTGGTAGAATGTTTAGTGGTTACATCATTATTGAATACATTTTTTCAAAATCTGTTTTTATTGTAAGTGCTTTTTTTATTTGTGTCAGGTTTCTTTTAGCAAGACATGCATTTCCAGCTGTAGAATGAAAAGGAAAAGTAACAAAAATTGTAAAAATATAATTCAGAATAAATGACTATTGATAATGTAAGAAATGGTTTGTAATACCTAAACTGTTCAGACTGGGATGACGTCCTAACTTCAAATGTATGCTTAAAACCTCTTTTTAGCCTCATTACCATATTGAATTGTTTATGATGCAGTGAAAAGCATACAGAGTAGGCTTGGCCTGATTACATTTGAAAGTAATAAGAAATTAAAAGATGCAGTTTAAAGATTAAAATTGCTGTAGATGCTGCCTGCATTTCTAGCATGAGATGTGGCCAGCATTGCTGTTTGTATTTCTGCATCATTTTTAACATCGTATTTCACTGAAAAAAAAGTTATATGTTTATATTTTTGTTAAAAGTATACTGTTTTTTGTGATTTAAGCCCTCTGGCATTCAAAATAATATGATGATCATAAACTAATTTAATTTAGTATTGTATGTGCATACATGTATTTACTGCAGAGAACTTTGCAATATACCTATTTTAGATACTCATTTGTATTTATGGATTTTTAAAAAATTATCTTCATGAAAGAATCACGAGTATGCTGTGTCTTCATGACCAATTTAGAGAGATCCACAAGGTGCATTTGCAATTTTTTCAACCGTTATGGGGCATTCAGTAACTTAACCCTTGTAATTGTTAAGGGCCAACTATACTTTATTAATACTTTTTGGAATAGTATTTGTGTTATGCTTCATTAAGGAAAAATAAATATGTTTATTTTTCTTTCCCCTGAAAATAGAGAAATAGTGGCGATGCAGCTCAGATCTTCCATGACACAGCTGGGTGGCGTAACTTGGAGACTAACATGAAATGCCTTGAACATATGATCAATGGCTGTGCTCCAAAGTTCCTTCCTTATATTGATCAGGTAATTTTCCATTTTATTTTATTTGTTATTATATGGTGAAATGTTGAAGTGAATTATGTTGGTATGAATGCTTAATATTTAGTTTTATATCATGTGTTATCTTCAAGAAATTCATTTGGATTTCAAGGCTTTTGTACATATATCTCCAATATCATTATTTTTATCAGTATTGTTGTAGCTACAATGTATATGCTCAAAATTGAAGAAACTTGTATATCAGCCAGCAGTGTTCACATATTGTGCTAAACTGTGTTCGCTACATTCTAGTGTTCAAGTTGGTTAGAGTTCTTTTATTATACTGATAGTGTTATAAAACATCTCATGTTTGTGAAGCATGGACTCCTCCATAGAGCTGATTGTTCTGTATTTCGAGGTCTATGTACTCCTCCATCAGTCGTCATACATCATTAATCGTCATCATTATCGTCATTAGTAATCGTCATAACATTATCATCATCAATACTATCATTAATATTATCGTCCTTATTGTTTTCATAATTTTCCTCACAAAGGACTTGCTGGACTTGATATTCACGGCACTGACGCATACCAATCGTTTTGTGAGAGAGACGGGATTTAATGTGTGTGCTGCATTGGTATCATGTGGAGGAGGAGGTGAGTAGAGTTAAGTAAAAAGTTTTGTCTCCTACCTTTTTTTTTCTCCATTGGATTATTTTCTATACCATGTAAATTGATTCAAGGAACAAATTATTTTATGGACAAGATTTTCCAAAGAGCTGTACATGATGTCATTAAAAAAAAAAGAGAGAACCTGATAAAGACCAGATCTCAGTTGATCCCTGTCCTTTGACCACCCCAGAGGCAGCTGAGTTTCTGGAGACCAATCCGATGTTCACCTTCGGAGATCAACTGTCTCGTCACCTGGGCCAGGGATTGGCTGATAACTGGAGCCAGGTAAGTGACAGTGATGTTGCTTTTGTTTTCTGCTCAAGAGTTTCTTTGTGTACATTTTGTTTGTTTTTCAACTTGGACTCTTTCATATTGATAAAGGTAGGAAAGGATTACGAGATGGTTTGCTACTTATTCTTTAAGAATTTTTATTATTACTTTCATATAGGCTTTAAGATATTCCCCATATGTGATAGTTTACCAGTAGTTTTTCTTATTGCTATTAAAAAAGTGAAAGAAGAGCACATAATTGTTGTGTTTACTTTACATGTAAAATGTAGTGTTCACTGTAGTTTCTTTTGGTAAATATCTCTGTACATAGATGGCTCTACAAATGCTTAGCTGCAAAGGAGTAGTTAGTAGACCTTGTGACCTCACCTAATTTCATCTTTCCTTTTTACAGGAAAATATTTTTTTTTTTACTAATGCTATCAATATCGATGCTGTTATTATCTCAATAGACATTATAATTAGTATAAGGTTACTGACATTACCAACAGCAATATAAGATACCTGAAAATATTTCCAAAAGTCAAAGAAAAGGACAGGTAGTATTCGTAATTGGCTCATTGGTTACTTAGTACTTTTGTATCTATGTGTAGAGACAGTTAATAAGATAAACTCACACAGTGGGCATCCCCAAGCAACTTTAGGTTATTTTTTTTTCTCCAAAAATTTTGAACCATTTGATTGATGGATACTGGTTGTTATTGATTACTTTTGCTGAATATTTACAAACAATAATTTTCTTTTTATTCTGTATCATAACAGTTATTATTTGGAACTGCAAACTTCTCAGCTTACTTGTCCCCAGCTGTAAAATAGGCCTCATTCTTCAAGAAGGCAAATTTTGGCAAATTTTGGTTCCTGGCATTTCACATTATGAAATATATATTTCATTGTCATGTATCAAACACACATAGCCTCAGTAGAATGAACAGTTGAAAAAATGAATACAGTCACCCCTCATTTGTAACTGAAAATGGGGATAAGTTATTATGAACATACATATAAAACAAATACAAAGTGGTGTGATGTGTCATGCCATGCAGTGCCAGAATTACTACCTCACACTTCCTGTTTTCCATTCACAAGAATAAGGGGCTGGAAAATTTGACTTGACATGATTAGCTGAGGAAAAGGAAGACCAACAAGGGGAATGGGGCAGTGGGGGTATTTTTGTGCCTGTAGCTGGAGGATACTTTCTGGACAGTACTAGATATATTAGTGGTCTCTAAGTATATCGCATTGATAATGACAGAGTTGCTGTTATTCTTTAACAGGCTGCGGATGATTGTGGCAGATAGTGAAATGAGCACATTGTGTAGAAAGCTAAGAATGTGGTGAATAGAGCTGTGGGGGTATTTGATAGTACTTTGTAACTTTGGCATTTGAAATTTATTTCATTTAACAATCAGTGGCAAATCCTTCCCACTCCCTGCAGGTACGCTTAGCATCATCTGTTGCAACACGGAAGTTCCTGATGTCACTCCCAGCAGCTGCCAGAGAGAGGTTCTTCCCTGTCCTGCTTCCCAGACTGTGCCTTAATAGGTTAGTGCTTGTTGTAATTTGCTCTTTGTGTGCTGCAGTGCTTGTGGCTGGATTTATTTGTGTGGTTGTGTACTAGTATCCTTGGGTGGATGTATGAAAATGTATTCATTTATATACAAGTGGATTCACAGACAGCCCTTGTTTTTTCTACAAATATTGCTTCACACAAAGCCTCTGTGTTAAAGGAATATGTACAATTATTATGGATGGTAACCCTGGCCATTCCTTACACACAGGGTAATTTAAAAGCAACAAGAAACAGAATAACCATAGTAAAAATTAGATGAAACCATATTATTGGATTGTTGATTAATTAATCACTCTTAGTTGGCTTATGCATAGGCAGTAAGTTATAATCCGCGATTGAGAGTATTGCCAGAGCTAGAGAAGTTTTGTAGAGCCACAGTTTGAAACATCTACATCTGGAGTTCAGACTTTGTTCAAATTATCCAAATTACAAAGCAACTTTACATTTTTCTTTTTGTGTGATATTTTTTTTGTTTGTTTTATGATATTTTATGTCACACAAGCTTGTAATCCAATATCTTTAAACATTATGGAACTAATATTATGTGTGTCTTTATCTGATCCAATATTCATATGAACTTTTCACTTCCTTTCACTTCTATCTTTATCTGTTTATCTGCAGTTAAAGGGTGACATGATATGCAGAAACAACTGTTCATATTGTAGTAAGCTAATCAAATTGGCCTTGCAGAGGACCCTAAGCAGTAGAATGTAACAGACCTACGTTATTTATTTTTATCTCTCTAATGTGGACTAAGTCAGAATTTTAGATAAAATGAAATGAGTTAAATATGATTTTATTCAAAATTGTATGAAAAGAAGCCTGCCTGTATGTATATAAGTAGCTATTAGAGATATTCTGATTTAATGAATACCATCTAAGACTCTTCAGATGATACTGTTACTAATAGACATCAGCAGATAACTATAATGATACTTAAATTATTTCATATATTTTACTTGTAATTGTTAAAAGTAAATAGCTACTTTTCTTTTAGTGTTCAAAATAGGGTAGGTGGAAACAAAGTTTACTGGATGAAATAACCTGTTGGGAATATTAAAGTGAATTGACAATTGTGGTGAAGAAATATTAACCTAAATAGTCAAAGCTTCAGAACTTGTAAAGAGTAAATTATAGCTTAGACAAAAGATTGCATGTTTTATAAGAATAGAAAATGAAAATTATAAGGAATACTTCAGTGATATGTAATTATCACAAATCATATCATTTTTTTTTCTTTTTTCTTTTCTTTTACATATAAAGGACAAAGTGCAGTAGTTCTCAGTTATAGTATGTGTGTACTCTAGAGAAAATGTATAAAAAAATCTAAAGATAATTAGGCATTAACCCATTGGATCCAGATGCTTCACTGGCATTATGTGGGCTAAAATATAGACATTAGGCTGACGTGAGTGGACGCTGCCAGGTTTGTGGCTTGTATGCCAGGCACAATGTAATGTTCATGTGCAGTGACTAGACTCCAGGATTCCCCTTTGCAATGTTATTTTCTCTTTTGGCACAATTGAATATGAATATTATGAAAACCAAAGGAAGATGAAAAATTATTTTAACAGAAATACCATATGCATTATGCTTAAGTTATTCTCTTTTTGTAGATTCATAGTCTGGATTCATAGTCTGAAGATGGTAACTACCACAAGAATAAATGTAAAACAACAAAAATATTCAACTCAGAAATAGAACATTTACTACGCTAGTTTACTCAGGGTTTGTTTAGAAGTCACCTTATATTTTTATAAGGGTTACATAGATCATTACACCTACATGCTCAAGAATATGCATGAGCTAATTTTTAAATTCTTTTTAATCATGAGAAGAATGTTAAAGCAGTATTATTTTTGAAGTTGATGTTCTGATTCCAAATGTGTTATATGAAAATCTTACATTTCTTTGCACTTTACAAAAGATGTACCTTGTAGATGGAAGAATTTTGTTTATCATTAATCTAATATACATTACTATGTGTTTGAGAAAGTTTTTTGTTGCACATTTTAAGATAGTGCCTAGTTCTAGCTAACCTGAACTTGGCTTTCAGTGCAAGGAAAGGCACCTGATATTTTGAGTAAAATAGTTTTGGAAAAGCAAACATTTAAAAGTAAAGTATAATCATATCATTATTTAACACTGAATGAAAAAGTACTACTGGGCATGTTTGAGTAAAATAAAGGATCACTATTCACAAAATATATATTTTTTGATGTTGAGGTTCTCTTGGCAGCATTTGGTGTTGGAAAAAGTGCAGAGGCTATATTACAGAATTTTAATCTATTTTTGCTCATTAGAAAAGCCACTATGTCTTTTAAATTTCCACACAAAATGTTTGATGATGCTTAGTGTCATTATTTTATTTCTGTGAATACTTATTTGCAATACCTCTTAGATATCAACCCAATAACACCGGGTAAAAAATTTGGCAAGTGGACATGATCACCTATCACCCATCGACAGTTTTTCCTGTTTGCGCCTGGCTCATTTGTTAGTTTGCTGGCAATGTTAAGCCTAAAAGCTTGTATTTTGATACAATTCTTTAAGATATGAAATTTTTGAAGGTTTACCTTCACTCAGGTGCTATTGCCTAAGTGTTTTACCAGAGAAATGATAGCGCTATCAGAGAAACAAGCGTTGTCAGATGAGCTGATGCCGCAAGAATGGTCGTATTTGATGCTACCTGCTACTTTGTCTTCAACATCCGTGGCATGTACGTACATGCCACCTAGCGGGAAGTGGTTGAATTATTGCAAGATCATGTATGTATTAACCCATTCATGATGGGACTTCCTTGTGCTATACCAGTACACTTGGTTGCGTATATAAGTTGGCCTCTCAAGTGAAAATTTAGAAGTATTAAAAATATACATTCATCCTGCTCTGTGTGCTTTTGACAGAAGCATATATATATATATATATTTTTTTTAGGAAAGTTCAGAAAGAGCCAGTAAGCCCTCCTCAGGAACTGCATCTCCTTAGTGACTGGGCCAAAGAAGCAAACAGATGTTTAGCACAAATGGCTGGCAGCAGGCCAACCACATGTGGCATGGATACTTGCCTTCTGGCATTTGGGCCTGGTTTGCCATAATGCAATTAGAGTCATCTGGCACAAGTAGGCTAAGCATATTCTACAAAGCTGCTTGTTGATTTTCACTGATACTATTTGTTTTTAGTAACAAATGAACCCACAAATATGATGACAGAAGGAGCAACAGTGATCCAAAACAGAGAAGTTAAATTGAAGCAAAGGCTATGAAAAAAGTCTATTAATTGCGTAACACAAAATCAGAGGGCAAGCTCCGATCTAGCATTACACTGGCAGGATGCCTGGTATGTTTACTTTTTACTGTCTCATGTGACACCTGTCGTAAGTGGGTTAATGCTGGGGAAAATGTAGCTGTCCACCTGTGAATGCTGAAAGTGACTTTACATTTTTAGGTTTAAGG